ACGCGTGCGCGCCTGGCGCGTGTCCGCCACGCGCGCGTGCTGTGCACGAGCGCCTCTTCCTTGTTTTTTTTTTTTCTGACGCGCGCGTGCACAGCACGCACGCGCGTTAGCGCGTATCCGCCACGCGCGTTAGCGCGTGTCCGCCACGCGCGCGTGCTGTGCATGCGCGCCTATTCCTTTTTTTCTTTTTTTTTTTTTTTTTTTTTCTTGAATGGAGCCGCGCGCGCGCGGCTTGGCTCGACTCGCGCGCGCGGCTCGGCTGCATCTCCTCCTTTTTTATTTTTTATTCTCTTTCTTCTTCTTTTTCTTCTTTCTTCTTTCTTTATCCTTCTAATTCTTCTTCTTTTACTCTCTTTTTTCTTCTTCTTGTTCTTGTATTTTTTCATCTTCTTCTTTTCATCTTCTTTTTTTTTTCTTCTATTTTTTCATCTTCTTCTTTTTTCTTCTCTTTTTTCTTCTTCTTTTTTCTTCTTCTTTTTTCTTCTCTTTTTTCATCTTCTTCTTTTTTCTTCAATTTTTTCATCTTCTTCTTTTTTCTTCTATTTTTTCATCTTTTTTTTTTTTTTTTTTTTTTTTGAGTTGATATTCACCCCCTTGGGGATGTTCTATTTTTTGAGTAGGGAGATTATCCTCGTTCCTTGAGATAGGATGTGCACCCCCTTGGGGATGTTCTATTTTTTGAGTAGGGAGATTATCCTCGTTCCTTGAGATGGGATGTGCGCCCCCTTGGGGATGTTCTATTTTTTGAGTAGGGAGATTATCCTCGTTCCTTGAGATGGGATGTGCACCCCCTTGGAGATGTTCTATTTTTTGAGTAGGGAGATTATACTCGTCTCTTGAGATGTGATGTGAACCCACTTGGGGTTGAAAGGTAAGGGTGATGCCCAACCTTAGGATGGGGATAACTGCCCACTGTAGGATGAGGCGCTCGAGACCTATGGTCTGTGGTAGATGCGCACGGTTGTGCCATTGGTTCGCGCGTGCGCGTCAGACCCTTTTTTTTTTTTTTTTTTGAAGTAGGGACGTGAAACACTTGATTGGATGTGAAACCCCTTGGGGTTGAAAGGTAAGTGGATGTACCACCCTTGAGATGAGATGCCCAACTTTAGGATGGGATAGCCCCCCATTTAGGATGAGGCGATCACGAACCAATGGGGTGAGATGCCCAACCTTGGCGATATATGGTGCCACTGATTCAGTGGCAGCACGAGTTGAATCTTTCGTGATCATACGTTGAAGGTCTTCTTCGGTTATCTGAACCATTCGAGAAGTAAGTAGAAATTGATTATGTTGAGGGCCCAGTGGGACCTCACGAGGAGGAGCGTTGGCTCCTACTATGACGATGTATGGTGCCACTGCTTCAGTGGTAGCACAAGTTGAAGCTTCCGCGATTATACGCTGAAGGTCCTTATCGGTTATCTGAACCGTTAGAGGAGCAAGTAGAAGTTGATATTGTTGAAGGTTCGGCGATCATATGCTGAAGGTCCTCTTCGGTTATCTGAACCGTTCGAGGGGGACGAAAGTAGACCCCTAGAGAGTCGATGACCCATGGCGAATGAAATGTTTTGGGGGCACTGTGAACCCCCAGGGAGTCGATAACCCTTGGCGAACGAAATATTTTGGGGGCAGATGTAAGCCCCCAGGGAGTCGATAACCCTTGGCGAACGAAATATTTTGGGGGCGATGTAAGCCCCAGGGAGTCGATAACCCTTGGCGAACGAAATATTTTGGGGGCGATGTAAGCCCCAGGGAGTCGATAACCCTTGGCGAGCGAAATATTTTGGGGGCAGATGTAAGCCCCCAGGGAGTCGATGGCGGTGGTGCCATAGGTGGCTCCACATGTGGAGCAGGTGCTGGTATCGCGTTGGGAGCATTTGCTCCCATCGTGGCGATATATTGGGTCACGGCCTCTGTGGCAGCGCGAGTTGAAGCTTCTGCTAACATGCGTTGAAGCGCATCCTCGGTTATTTGAACCATTCGAGGAACAGGGAGTGGTGGATCGGCGAGTGGTGGGTCCCGAGGGGGATCACCTGAACCTCGCGAGGCGGATCCATGGGACGTGGAGGAGGTGGCAAGCCAGAGCCTCCACGAGGTGGGAGGTCGTTAGCTGTGTCATTTTCTCTCCGAGCAGACGCCTCAGGAGGATCTTGTTGGCTACGTGATCTGGTTTGCATCGTTCCCACAGACGGCGCCAAAATGATGATGCTAAAATATAGCTCACCTAGGGTAGTGTAGAAAATGAGCTGGGAGAGCAAAGCGGATCAGTAGCTTGACAACTTGATCATCCTGAGGTACCTGCGATCATAGAACACATGAACTAAGCCGGGGGTTGATCCGGCGGAAACCCCTCCGACGCTCAAGTCAGACGTGCTGATCATAGAAATAGTCCAGAGAATACGTATTATAGTATTGCTCAGTTAATAGGACGTACCTTATGGGTAGCATAAAGAAATTTATCAAGTTGGAATCAGGCTAATAATGTTATTAACAATTTTGTCTACAAGGAGGATTTATAAGTGATTATGAAGGTATAACACAAAATTTTGTGATTTTATAACAAAAAATTTCATCTCTAATGTACATTAGTGCCGCTCCAATGAATTTTTTTAATCTAGGTAATTTTATATAAATTGTATTTATTTTACATTTTTAGGTGATTTATTATTCAGTAATGTGTACGACTGAGAGAATATGAACAATGCAAAATGTGTAGGTTACTCACAAGGTATTAGATGAGTTGTAAACGATTTCAATGCATGTATAAAATATCACTTTGATAACTAAATTTCATGTTAAGGATTCGAGTGCATTGGGCGAGATAGTTTTACGATTTGGGTTAGATGTATTGTATATTTTATATCACAAGTATTTATTTTATATTTTATTTTATTATTATTTTTGTTTAAGTTTTGTATTTAAATCAGATGGAATGGATACTTTTCTGTTTTGAACTATATCTTATTATATATCAATTAATTAAAGTTTTTACTATATTATTTTATTTAAATGTATTTTCATTGTTCGTGACCGTAGCTTCGTGTTATATTGTACCAACATTCAGATTAATGTACAAGAGTGGTCTATTCATTCGATTCCCCACTTGGAGTTGGTTGTGGCATTTCGTCGTGGATGGTTTGTACAAGATTGCCATTTTATATTTATGTAGAGTTTTTGATGATGATATAAAATACAAAATTGTTATTTTTTGTTCGGTCGTATTCGACTTAAATCCTCGACCTTTTTTTAATTCGGTAATTTTTTAGAATAATTTCTTTTGATCTAAAATTTGATCCCGTGCATCGCACGGGTGAGATACTAGTTAATACGTAACTCTCCATCTTCTTACAATTATTTTAGTATCATTCCTAACTATTATTTTAAATTTTATTTTTGATTTTTATCTCCTAAATATTATTTTTTGATTTTTTTATCAAATTTTTATCTCCGAAATATTATTTTAAATATTATTATCGATTTTCATCAAATTCTCCTAGATATTATTTCTAATAATCTGATTTTCAATTTTTACAGAAAAGGGTAAATAAATCTGATTTTCATCCCTAGCGGATTTTGTGACATCGTTTTACAGAATGTCTGCAACATTTGAATTTTATTTCTTCCCTACCTAAGGCTTCTTCTTTTGGTAACCCGACTTTAGATTTTGTTTCTTATCTTCTTCTTCATCCTATTGCATGTGTGGCAATTAGTTTACATCTTTTTCCATCATGGCTTATAGGTAATTTCATTTTGTTAAATTATGTGTTTCATTAATTTATACCAAAGTTTTCAAATTTTATGTATAACAATTATTTCATTTTATATGTTATTGGACATGTTATTGAAAGTGATGATTTGAGAAAATTAACCAAAAATGGGCGGAGCCACAAGCTATTGGAAGTCGACCTTCAAGACTTATTGTTTGTATGCGATATTTAATTTATTGTTTATATTTATTTTTGTTTCTTAATTTTCCAATTGTTAATTCCAGTGGCAAAACAACCTTAAAATGAGGCAGTGGAGAAGGGCTTAGTTCCGATGCAAGATGTATAGATGGCCTTTTACGATGGTATGTTGTCGATAGTTTAGTTTTGATTATGTTAACTTAGTTATTAAATCTAATTACTTTTAAACTCAACATGGAAGACATAATTGATAATTTTTTTCCTGGTTCAAATTTTCAATCTATTGGTATTAGCTGATTCAATTCATTTGGAAAATTATTCAACAGTAAAGTTATGTCCTTTTTTTTTTTGTGTGTAGTATACTTAATAATGTTCCAGTATAATAGAATTTTGATCATACGATATATCAAACGTTTGTTTATATTCTTACAACATCAAAAGAATGCGATTTGTTGTCCCGTGCATCGCACGGGTACAATTACTAGTGCAATTAATACGTAACTCTCCATCTTCTTACAATTATTTTAGTATCATTCCTATGTTCAAAATTGTTAAAATACTTGAAAATGGTGTTATGGTTAATTTAATTTGTGTATTTATTTTTTCGTAGAGGTCCCCCATTTATAATGATTTGTCGTGTGTTTTTTATAGTGATCTAAGCCCAATAAAAAAGAAGAAACACAAAAAACAAGATTGATTTAAAAAAAAATACATTTACGTGTTAGAATTAATTAATTTATGTGTTTTTCATCTCAGTGGAGAACGCGAGGAATAAGAAGAAACACCACAAATAAGATTTGGCAACGGCAAATGCACGAAAAAGATCATTTATTTACCGCGTTTTCCATCTCGATAGCACCGAGCGAAAAATAGAGAAACACCAAACAACAAACAGTATGACTCTCATGCCTAAATAAAATAGTTTTGCTTAATAGTTTGAATATAATCCAGAAAATAAAATTAAATAAAGATAAGTAAATTACATAATTACCAAATTAATCATTTCCTCAAACAATATCATATGATTAATTATCTTCACTAATTAATAAAATTAAATAAATAATTAATTAATAAGAAAAACCGGGCTTCCTTTGATGATCATTGATAAGGCCGGCCAGCACGAGCAAACCTCAACAAATTGCCCTCCTCTTCTTCTCCGCCGCCGTGATCTTCACTATTATCACCGCCGGAAAAGTTGAGGGCGTAGCTCTCCGGCGAGTACTGAAACTGCGCGTTCTGCTGCGTGCTGTTCACGTGTTTCTTGGGACTGCAGAACTTGCCGATTCTCCTGACGAAATTCTTCCACTTGGGCCCCGCCACCATCTCCGACAGCTCCTTCAGTTTCTTCAATTTCTCCACCAGCCACGGCGACCCGCCGCCGGTGCCCCTTTCTCGCAGCAGAGAGCTGCGGCTCCCGCCGGAAACAGCCGCATCCGCCGCCTGCATATTCTTCGGCGCCTTCGTTTTCCCGCTCGGTGATGGGCGAGTAAGGTGCGGTGCTGGTGAAGACTGGTGGTGGGTTTTCTTGAGGCCTAGCCATTGTTCGTTAAGAGAGAGAAACTAGAGAGAGAAAATGGTACTCTGTATTTGAAATTGGGAACTGTTGGGTGCTAAATACCAACACGCAAGTGCACGTATCGCAAACAAGTAGTAAAGTAGACTCGTGAGAGTCGGATGTCGATCCCACAGGGAATACGCAAATTATTTAATCCTAAGTACCAAATTCTAACAATTATGATTTTATCCAGCCTACGCAGGGTTGTCAAATTAATTAACTAAATAAATTAAACTAACTAAGAAAGCAATTAAACACGAGAGAATATCAATATAAAACGGATCTAGGATTTTATCTTCCCCCTATGCGGTAATTCTTCACCCAATTAATCTCCTATCATGCAAGTTACGATTCCCGATTATTAACCCAAGACACGAAATTACTCATAACCAGCTGTCGCTGCGTTATTAGCCTATTATTCATAAAAGATTCACTATATGTCTATGCAAACCTAGTACAAATAAAGCATTAAATAACAAGTCTCGTAAACGGCTACCTAAGGTATTATCTGTATGTCTACGATAATACATGCAATCAACACACGCATTCGGTGAAAAACTACTCGAAGGCTCTTCTATCCCTGTTCTAATTATTAAAACGATCTGTCAATCAATTCTAACAATAACAAATAGCAACATAAGTTAGCTACGCTCATGCACTAAATACGATCAAAATAGAAGAAATAATCGAAGAATTAAACTTGCATAAAAGTAGAAAAATAGGTTCGAATTACCACATAGGGTTCCAATAAAATCCTAGAATAAAAACTTAGCTACTCGTAATTCTTATGATAAATAAAATAGAATTAATAAGAGAAATAAGAAAAACTATGCTTGAGTCTTCGTTGATCTTCGTTCTTCGCGTTTTGTGGTGTCTAATTTCGTTCAAAGATGATCCCTAATTGTGTGCTTGGGTTGGTCTTATATAGGGTGAAGAACTTGTGGAAGAAGGCAGTTTCCTTGTGCAATTAAAATCCCTTTTCTGCGCCCTTTCGTGAACCCGGACGGCCGTGCGAGAATAAGCTTTGAAATCCGGACGGCCGTCCGGTCTTTAATTCTTCAGAGTTTTGATTTTCTCACTTTTGGCCCACTTTTTCTCCGAATTTGCAGTTTTGACCCCAAAAGTTTCCAATTCTTCAATTTGTACCTAAAATACAAATAATAACCATTTTACGCACCAATTATCATTACAACACACCAAAAGCCCCAATTAAAAGGTACAATTAAGTGTATAAATATACACTCAACACACCCCCAAACTTGAACTTTTGCTTGTCCTCAAGTAAAATCAAATTAAGAACACAAAACAAAACCATACATCTCATTACATAGATCGATTGGTCAACTTCGCGTTTTCAGAACTTGCAATTATGATGATAATTCCTAGGTATTCGCAAGCTTAACATTCAACGGTACTTAGTCACTCACTATTACCAAAAACCACAAATCATACAATTGCTTCAAGTATCCAATATTTGCAAGTTAAAGATAGAAAGAATTTATACTTACATGCATATATTTGACTCCAAATACTCACCAAATTATTTTACTCAACTAATATTGAACAATAAGCTATTGGGATCATTGGGACTTTGTGGCTTTCAATTGTTAGGCTCTTTGGTCCGAGGTAGGTAATATGGGAATGTGTGGCTAATTTTCTTGAATTGAGGTAATTACGCCAAAATTTGAAAGATAGGCGTTTGAAACAATGAATTCACCTCTAGGGACTTTAATAAACTCGACTCTCCAAAATTCACACGTCAACACTTTTGCCTTGAGGCAATGGATCGAGTTTTCAACACAATTCAACAACTAGTCCTTATTTCTCCCTTATAATCTATTCTTCTTCTTTTTTTTCTTTTTTTTTTTTTTTTTTTTTTTTTTTTTTTTTTTTCAAATCGAGGAATTTCGATATATATATAAGGATGCACATATATATCTATTTCTCTTTTTATCTATTTTTTTTTTTTTTCGAATAAGAAGAAAGATCTTATAAAACATTTCGACCGAAATCCAAGGGATAATTATTCAAAAATCTCCACTTTTCTACCTTCTACATATTGGCTAAAAGAAAGAACACCTTTTCTCTCCGAGGCTCAAATCAAGGTTCTAAGGATAAAAATTTAAAGGTAGGCTTGAAAGGCTCAAACGGTTCAAAGAAGGCCCAAATCATCTCCCAAATCGCTTACTACCCAACACTTCGTATCATAAATGTCTTAAGGTGAGATTTAAAACCGAACAAAGCATGATTGAGCACAAATAAATTCCAAATTTAAAATGCAAAACATTCAACCAAAGCAATGCATAAGGTGTGATTCCTAGCAATAATTCATTTCTACGTTCCGTTGAATCGAAAGCTAAACAAATACATACTCCTTATCAACATAAAACAAGTAGTCTCATCATCAAACATTTACCATCTATCATCATCATAATTCATCGATGCATCGGACACAAATTTTTTTTTTTTTTTTTTTTTTTTTTTTTTATAAAAACGAAAATAATAAAACGGCAATTAAAACAAAAACTAAAGCATGCAAAATAAATAAAAAAAATAAAACACACATAAAGCACATAAACGAAAACAAGTAGTTAAACCCCCAAACTTAAAATTCACATTGCCCTCAATGTGATTCGCCCGGAGTTTAAGGATAGAAAACACCTGTTTAAATGTCGGGACCACCGTCGGGTTGCTCACCAACTCCACCGTGCGCATGAGCATTAGAATTGTGAGAATTGTGGGTTGGAAAACCTTGTTAATCGGCCCCGTTTTTTTTTTTTTTTTTTTTCTCGGACGGCCGTGCGGAATTTAGGCCTGCAATCCGCACGGCCGTGCCAAAAGCCGGATTTGGGCAGTAGCCCCTTCGAATCTCAGACGGCCGTGCGAGATTTTGGCCTAAAATCCGCACGGCCGTGCCAAAAGCTGGTTTTGGGCAGTAGCCTCCCCGAAGTTTCACACGGCCGTGTGAGATTTCGCCCTCTTTCTTGCACGGCCGTGTCAATAATTGCAATTGGGTCCCTGAAAAAATAAAAACTTCTAATTAGTGCCCAGAAACTTTTTTTTTTTTTTTTTTTTTTTTGAAAAATAAAATAAAATGAAAGCAAAACTAAAAATTTGAAATAACATAAAATAAAAACGAAAGCTCGGGTTGCCTCCCGAGAAGCGCTAAGTTTACAGTCTTCAGCCGGACTTTGTCTGCTTCTTTGATCAAGCTAACGTGACCGAAGTCACTTGGCGATTGAATTCCTCTTCCCGATGATGCTCGTTTGATTTTTTTGGTGGCCACATCCTCCTTGCACGTTCATCACCGTTGGCACCCCAACTCTTTTGACTGTCTCTCGGCGGAGTTGAATTTGAGCTTGCACAATAAACTTGCTCCGTCCGACTATCTTTTCCGCCACCTTTTCCTGCACTCAAAGATCCTTTCTCATGGTCTAAGATCAAAACGTCAAAATCGTCATGATTTGTAAAATCCACAAGATCAATAGCATAACAATCATTATTCTCACATGAATTTTTATTAGCGCTAAAAACGTTAAATTTGATCGTTTGATCGTGCACCGTCATTGTAAGATCACCACTAGCGCAATCAATTACCGTTTTCGACGTGGCTAAAAAACGGCCTTCCTAGAATAAGAGGTATCTCCCTATCTTCATCTATATCAAGTATAACGAAATCCACAGGGAAAATAAATTTATTCACTTTCACTAGCACGTTCTCTAAAATACCTTTTGGGTAAACTAAAGACCTATCGGCTAATTGGAGGGTTATAGCCGTTGGTTCAATCTCACCTAACCCAAGATTTTTGTAAATGGAATAAGGCATAAGATTAATGCTAGCACCTAAATCAATGAGTGACCTAAAATTTTTACCTCCAATAGTGCAAGGGATAGTGAACTTACCTGGATCGCCGAGTTTTTGTGGAAGGGGCCGTATAAGAATTTCACTGCATTGCTCCGTGAGTTGGATGATCTCGTTCCCTTGCAATTTATTCCTCTTTGTCACGAGCTCCTTGAGGAATTTCACCCACTTTGGCATCTTTTGAATGGCTTCGATAAACGGAATGTTTATGTGGATTTCCTTCAGCTTGTCCAAGAATCCTTGGTGCTCGGCATCAAGCTTCTTCTTTTGAAGCTTTTGAGGATACGGGACTTGAGGAACTCGTGAGTTCACTGTGGGTGATGGCGGTTCCTTGCGAGTTGCTTCTTTTTCCTCAATCACATTCGGCTTCTCGATTACCGTGCTTTGCTTCTCCTTTCGTGGGGCTTCCTCCAATTGTCTCCCATTCCTTAAACTTACAGCGTTGCACTGCTCGATGTTGTTCTTCCGCGGATCTTCCGTGTTTGATGGCAGTGCTCCCGATGGCCTCGCTGTTAGTTGGGTTGCAAGTTGACCCATCTGTGTTTCCAAGTTTCGGATGGAGGCTTGGGTGGTTGTCATGAACTGCGCCAAGATATTTGCGAGATCTCCGCCTTGAGGTTGAGCTTGTGGCGGATTTTGGAATCCGGGCGCTGGTCGTGAATAATTAGGCGGTTGACCTTGAGGTGGTGCTTGCCTTGGTCCTTGCTGATTTCCTCCCCACCCAAAATTAGGGTGATCCTTCCATCCGGGATTGTAAGTGTTGGAGTACGGGTTCCTCTGTTGTCGGTTGGTGTCATGCACATAATTCAGAGACTCCGTTTCTTCTACGCGCTGGTCGGAAACTTGGACTGCGTGGACTTGCTGAGTCTGCAAAGCCGCTACTTGCTTCGATAGCTTCTCCAATTGGGCCGTGATTGCGGTGACTCCATCTAGCTCCAAAATTCCACCCGTCTTGACTGCTCCGCTATTCGACCGGTCCGATGCTCGCATGTATTTATTCCTAGCGATTCGTTCCAAGAGCTCGTATGC